TCAAGACATTTAGTTAAGTACCTAAACAAATGGACTATAGACATACATTGACAATAACAAGTTTTTTTTTATTTAGGTAATCAGAGATATTTTATTTGTACAAGGGGACGATGTGGAGAGTTCACATTACGTATGGATACACAGTTGCTATCAGAGTTACGGTAGCAAGGGTTTATTACCTGTGGTGGCGAATTATAACGTGGAATTTTAGTGTCTTTTTGAATACAGGGAGTGGTTGTATTTCTTTGATATGCTTGGGGAGATTGTTATACAGTTTTCCACCTTCGTACCCAATATCCTTAGTATCGTAGTTGGTTCGATATAGGCATAAATTATGGGCATTTCTTAATTGTCTGGCTGAATCTTTTTAGTTAAAACTGTTTGAGAATGAGTATCTTTTGCATGTTCAATACACGAAGCCAAACAATTTTTAATATACATTACCTATCGGCAGGCAGCGTTTGTAGATCACTAGGGAAGAGATCGCTACAGTCCGACCCATCTCGACACGTTTTATGGCAGATTGCGCATACCTATAACAAGTATAATAATTCATAATAATAAAACAGGGCCTATACAGCAGGCTAATCGCGTACGGCGAAAGGTAGCCCTGTGGTATGGGCCAGAAAGTGATTCAAAATGCTTAATAAATAATAATAGAAACGGTTTATCTGTCACGAGTTTGGCAGATAATTAGTAAAATTTGTTTAAATTATCAGTTAAAATCTTAACAAATAATTATTATAAACAGTGGTTTAAAGAACAACTCTGAGCCGAAAAAACAGACAACCAATGCCACATGAGCAGTCGAAATTGACACCGGACTTGTGATCGACTAAGTACGCATAAGAAAATGCTTGTGGGGCGCTTCTGATTACAATGATGTATATAATATAATTTATATTTTAATAATTTTTATTTATATTAATATATTAATAATTTTTATTATAGAAAAAGGAACCGACTTCAAACTTTACTTATGTGTACATAAACACACAAACTGAAACTAAAAAGTTAACTATTGGTTACCAGATATTACGCTAAACTGGATTCATCCCCTAGTTTACCTTCCTTAGCGGAACGCAGTAATGCTCACATTACTGCTTGGCGGCAGAAATAGATAAGGTGGCAGTATTTCGCACTGACTCAAGACAAAAAAATACATGTATCACTCACGGCCTCCTCGTCACTCGGGATGTAAGGCCTCACAGTCAAAGGTAACCCTGGAGGCATGGCCTGAGGCCGCATCACTTCGCCGCTGCATTCGATTGGTAGTAATCGCCTCAGGTCGGCAGTAAGCCCGCCGCGGAACACCCACGGTTCTTGCGCGCCGCTCTCAAATGCTTCCCGCCAGCCTTTTGAGAACCCTGTTGAAACGTCAATATTTCATTCTGTACTTTCCAAACAAAACTAACGAATAATTATCACCACGAAAGTCTTAAAATCTATATAAAACTAACGAACTAAGAACTCGATGGCCCATTGGTTTGCACTGCGGACGCTAGATAAGGAGGTCTTGGGTGCGATTCCTGATTGGAAAACGAAACTTTTGTACTGCCCTCGGAACGAAAAAGGGCACAACTAACATTTTTATCAAAATTTAGTTACATACACATTCGGTATCAGGAAATAAAGGCCAAACTAATTATTTTTTTGTGGAAATATGTCTCAGTAATTTTTAATAATACTGACTTCAATAATCAGATTTTTTACTTAAAAAATGTCATATTCGACGTTTATTACATTGAAATACTAATACCAGCAGATTTTACTTAGTAATGTATGGAACTGTGCCCTTATTATGTAGTTCAATTAGAATATTATTATAATAACATAAAAAAGGCAGAACTGAATACAATTATGCCCTTTCAAAAGTCACATTTAAATTAGTTATGCCCTTTATATGCAGTAATAATATTTTTTTTTACTAAGTTAAAAGAGTTAAAGTATTTTAAAAAAGTGCTGATTAAAATACAATGGAAGTTCCTGTATAAAACGTGGTATGTATTTAGAACATAAATAAACTTAATATGAAACGTATACTTTTAAGTTCTTTTTACCAGAAAAACGTAACAAACATTTAAAGATATTTATCTCCGAATTAAGAATTTGCTGCTTGGGCGGTTCTTCCCTCCGATGGTAGTGTGGACCATAAGCTGTAGTAAGTAGTGCCTGAATTCCATTGCTTTGGTAGCCATAAAAAAGGGAATTTAACAGTTTGAAATGAGGTAATTAAGTAACTTACATGTATAACTTCCTTGTGTATTCGTCGTTATATTCGGTGGGAATTTTCCGAGTTCTGGAAAACGTAGAAAAGAGTAATAAAACTTTAATGCCATTAACCTATCAAGTCCCACCGACTGGGTGCCTGATTGGTCAGTGTCTTGATGTTGATAAGTAAGTAAATATTATAATGTATGGTTTCATATATTCTTCAGTACAAATTTGCGCACGCGGCGATCCACTTCAGCTACGTGCCGCACTTTAACTTAAATAACGTGATTCACATAGGAAATTAAACTATTTTTCCGGATTTAAATCGCGTATATTTGTATACCACTAGTTTGGGATCCAGTATTTCCTCTGATGAAAAATCCCAAACAGACATAAGACTGCAGTACTAATTAATATGTTTTAGTTTATTCTAATTTCTATTAATAATTAATAATAAATTGAACTTAATAAAAATTCATTCAATAAAATAATTTGTAAATGTTAATGTAGCGTAAATTTGAAATGTTTTCTTTGTAAAATTAAAAATAACGTATCTAATTAATAATTATTGTGACTAAGTGAAAAAATAGGGTGATTTGCATTAATATTAGACATAACTGGTTGAAGACTGTACCACCTCAGTCAACCGTGACCACGGGACCTGTAAAGAGCCCGAAACGTCGGTTTGTTTGAGAAAACAAATATACGCGATTTAAATCCGGGAAAAATAGTTTCATTTCCTATGTGTAACAATCGCGAAAACCTAAGAAGTCGAAACGTGATTCACACTTTATTTTACGTAGTTCGTTACCAACGGCCCACCGATACACTACATCAAGGAAAGATTTGCCACCATAATACCTGTATTTTTTACAAATATACTTTTACAATTTTCTTTGCAACACTTTTTCTGCGTACTATTACTACAATCCATGTATGGAGTAAGACGGCCCATACATTTTGGTCCTTCGAGCCGGATTTGTATGAAAAAATCATTTTATTATATTTGACCAACTTCTGTTGTCCCGATTTTTTATTTCCATACAATGAAATCATACTTATGAGAAACAAAGTTTCGTATTCCAGAACTCTACTAAATGCTCTAGTCAGGACTTGAGCAGACTTGAGTATGATTTCAAGCACGGAAATACGACCCTAATGGCAAGGACTTGAGTATGATTTTCAGTGCTCACTGCAATATTCAAGTCCTGACTTGAGCATTGAGTAGAGTTCTGGAATACGACCCTGAAT